AACTCAGCTACAGAGGACATTTCCACTGGAATTCCTGTATTGGTAAATTCTCCATGTTTGTAATAATTTTATTGTGCCCATCATTAATGCAAGGTGACAAAGGAGGGTCTCTGACCATCCATTCATGATTCTGTCCATCAATCTGTCTTGTGAATCCTTATGTGAATGGTTAAGAATCATTATTTATATTAGATTTGAATGACATTTATTTTGAAACTTATCTCAATAACATTTTAGATGAATATGATGCACACATAGTGCACATAATTCTTAAGTTTTATCCATTTATCATTTTTGCAAACGCACTTTTAATGTACAACCATATAAACATTGTAGATTTTATATTTATTATTAGGTTTCAACCAAATCTGCCATGAAGTTTTATGCTGTCAAGTGCTTGTACAAGTGTGATGATGGGCACATACTGTACCTTGTTAGAGTTGTGGCCATTGAACACAAAGCATAGTCATTAGTAATTACATGAAGGATTTTTTTAAAAAAAAATTGCCTCAAATGCTATCTTTTGTTTTAAATATCTTTTACAGAATTTTAACATCGTTACCATTTATAATTTATCTTGCACTGCTAGATGATAAATTTATTTTGGTAAAGTTTATCTTCATTAAGATTTTTACACTTTTTAAAAATTTTTTTATTAAGCTTGCCTTTTAATAAATACCATGTAACTTATATTATCCTGATGTACTATTAAAGAACCCAGTACATAATGCATTCATATATATATATATATATATATATATATATATATATATATATATATATATATATATATATATATATATATATATATATATATATATATATATATATATCACACACACATACATACTTGCATGCATACATATAAAGAGGGGATGGATTATTTTTCCCTGAAATACCCCAGGGTAAAGAGTTATTTCACCCACCTGTAGAATATTCCACTAAAGACAGTCTATTATCTCTATTTGAAAAGTTAGAGGTCACGTTTATCAACCCCATATCTTCCTGCATCAGATATACATTGGGTTGCTTAGGAAAGTATCTGGCCCAAAAATTGCATGCTGCAAAGGCCTAAGGAGGAAGTTTGTGGGCACAACCCTCTTTCCTAAAGACATGGGTGGATCCATCCCTGAGACTTGCACTCTCTCTTTTGCTGTGTATACCTCTTTAATTAGTTCCCAAAGGCTCCAGACTAAACCTCTTTTCAGAGGCTTGGTCTTTGGAAATAGTTTGATAGTCAACCATTTCTATTATAAATGATGGCTACTTCCACCAGTTGAATCTTGAGGAATTAGAGGAAGATGTTGACTCCCTTTCTCATAATGGGGCAGTAGAGTGGTGTTAACAACCAGTCCCTAGACTCCCAGATGTTCCTGGTACCAAAGAAAGGTAAAAAGTTCAACTAATTATTGACCTATCCTCTCTAAACAGCTTTCTGAAGAAGGAACCTCTAAAGATGAGACGACAGCCTCAATCAGGAATGCTATAAGATCAAGCACTTAGGGTTTTTTATATAGATCTTGATGATTTGTACCTTTGTATCCTTCATTCTGTGGCTCCAGTGATTGATTTAGCTATCTTCTCAAATTGCTAAAAGAAACATATCTTCTCAAACTGACCATATCAAGACATGTCCCCAAAGGATGGACCTCTTGTCAACACGGGGGATCTCTTCTACACAACAGCCCACAAATTCTCCACCCTCATGCTTAGTTCTTCTCAACCAGTCTCTCCACCAGAACAAGTTTTCAAGCAACATTGCTGAGTGTATTGTTCAAGCCAGGAGACACTCTACATCCAAGGTCTATGATGCCAAGTGGAGGATCTTTTGCAGTTGTTGTACTAGGATATATGTTAACTCTAGCTGTCCCTCCATGATTATAATGACTGATTATTTCATGTCCTTTTTGAAAATAAACAATTCACTGTGTATGCCATCAAGGACTATCAAGCAGCCATTTCTAACAAATTTTCTAAATGTGATTCCATTAGTTTGGATCTTCATATTGATAACTTGATTATGTATTTTTACCTACAGACACAGAGGCCTACTTTCTTAATGCCTAAATTGAATCACTGTTGTCTCTTGTGGCTTTTAAGGCAACTAATACACTTAGATTTCTTGGCAAACTGGCCTTTTGTTTTTATTTAAGGAGGATTGAGCCATATCAGCCCCGCTGATGTGTTCATAGTTTAAGCGCCATTGTTGTTTGCTTCTTTCAAAGGGATATAAAGTTGGCAGGAAAAGTTTTTTATTTTTGGGCAGTTTATATCATTTTGTTGAATTATTCAATGATTAAATATATTTTAAATGGCACACAGTGCATCCATATGATGGACATGTTTGTGTTTACATGGGTTTCTGCCCAGGTATGATATCTCGGAAAAGTAATCTGTGTTAACCCTTTCACCACTAAGTAACTACATTGAAAGACTACCATTCAACACATAACTTTCAAGATCTTAAAAAATGTAGACAACATATTTTCAGTGACTTGTATAATTTATTTTCTTGTGATAGGTATACTTTGGTACCACTGTCAAGAAGACAAATTAAGGTTTCTGAAAATATTCTCATAAGCAAATTTATTCTCACACAGATGATTTTATACAGGTAAATTTAAAGGTAAGTTAAACATATTTTCACTGTATTCTCTATAAAATGTTGAATAAAATGTTTAAAAAGTAATATGTGGTCTGTTTTTTTTATTCATTGTATTGTTCTTAAAAACAATGGCTTGAATTAATGCAATATTAACTCAGAATTGAAGCAAATTCAAAGGTGAGTTAACAATATTTCTACAGGTATTTAAAACCTGAAGTATACAAGGTTTTAACCCTTTCATCACTAAGTAACTTTGTAGGCATAGAGTCCTCAACACTAAGTAACTTTGGAGTTGTAAAGCAAAATGACTTGTGGACTTTGAAACAACATAACTTTGTCAATGTTAAAGATATTATGGCTGGATTAGGTGTCAAAATCAATGTTAAAAATCAAATTTTATGACATTCATTAAAATGTGCATATCTATTACAACTGTTAAAATGTAGGTACAAACAGGTAAAACAACAGGTAAAATACAAGTAATTATTTTATTACCTCTTAGAAAACATAGAAAGTTCTCAAAACTTGTTCAATTGACCCTAGATGTACTAGTGAATAATCACAGTAGCAACACAAGTCTTTCTTTCATGGTGTCCATAATATATAAGATTCTATAAAATGAACCAAAATGATCTCCAAGGTGAGATCTGTCCACACACCTATATTGTCTCTGCCACGTTTGATCGTCACATTTAAGTTCGTTAAACGGACAATTTTTCCAAAAACTTCATCTGAATAGAATATTTGAAAATAATCCAAAGCTTTCCTGGTGCCATCTAACACTCGGGTGTGCCCAACTCTGTCAGAAAACTGAAACAAATCTCTTTGGTTTTCCGGCTTCATCAAAAAAAAAAAAAAAACCCACATGGAGCGTACAATTCCTCTGGTTCAAAACCTTCAAAGTCATCTTCATCGTCATTACTGTTACCCACAAGTGCATTCCATTGTCTCTCCATATGTCTTCTCTCATTTTCATCCAAATTTACCAGGTCGAAATTATTTAAATACTCCGATAACTCTCCTCTAAAATTCCTTCAAATGCTGCCATGTTAGATACAAATTTCAGCATTCAGAAAACACGTTAAAAGTTCCTACTATGTTCTTGTATACAAGCTAAATTCACGAGATCATCCAAATATAACATCTTCATTACCAGATGGAAGTTATTAGAGGTACCCTGAAAGATATTTAGTCTGGTACTATAATGCTAAAGAAGAACACTGCCCCAGACTGAAAAGTCGGTCCATAGTGTTTACGGACTTACTTCCCCCTGACCGGTTTTGCGGTTCGCAGTGATGAAAGGGTTAAGATCATTTTGATGAAAATAAAGATGAAATAAAACACAAGTGTTGACTATGAAACAGATTATTTTAGCAAATATCCAAGGCATGAATAAAAATGTGAAAGAAATTTCAGTAAGCCTGGACTTAGGATAAGCAGGAATAAAACAAAGATCATGAGGATATGATATACCACAGGAAGTGACACCATGAAGATTGGTCAGCAACAACTTGAGCAGATAGAGAAATTTATCTACCTAGGTAGCATCCTAGCCAACGATGGCGATACCAACCACAATGTTGCTTGTAGAATAGGGAAGGTAGGGACATTCTTTCAACAGCTTTGACCAATCTATGCCAACATGCAAATGAATGTAGTAATAAAAATCCAGCTATTCAACACTGTTGTCATCCCAACTGTAACCTATGCATGTGAAACATGGAAGACATTGGCCCAGATTGAAAGGCCTAATGTTACCCAACAGCAATGGTTGTGTTGAAGGATTCAAGGATTTGATCCACCTGTGAACAGGCACCTGCCTCTCAACACCATTGTGACAGTGCTGGCTACATTTTGCAGGCCACATACTCTGACAACCAATCTCATAGCATCCAAGTAACGCCATCTTGTGGATGCCTTGGGTGAAGAGGGAAACGAGACCGCCCCCGAACTACATGGCAAAATACCTCCATCGAAGATCTAAAAACGCTGGGCATATCATTGGATGATGCTGAAACCATTGCAACAGATCAAACTTGATAGAGAGCACTCACTGTCCAATGCACCAAACAGCACAGCAGGAACTAAGTCTAAGTAATTCTAAGACTAATAGCAGCATTGATGTCGGGACATGAATGGCAGTGAAAGAGAATTCAGATTCAGTGTAATATTGAAGCTACATTTTCCGTAATCAAGAAAGTCAGCTCTAAGAAGCCTAACATGATAGTAATGCAAAGCTCAGCTTAAACTGCTGCTGTGTACAAATATGGCTTTGTCATTTAAGCTGAACTGATACCAGGAATGTAAAATTATTTCCCTGATGCATTATCAGATTGCTCATTAATGTAGCAAATGACACCCATATCAGATGAGCAACCAATGCTTAAGCCAGATAGGCTACTTTTCACTTAGTGGTTAGAGTGTCCACCTTGGATGTAGGAGGTCACAGGTTTGAACCCTGGCTGAGTCATAACAAAGACTTATAAAAATGGTACTAACAGCTGCCTTACTAGGTGCTCAGCATTAAGAGGTTAGTGTTAGGCCTGGTAGGCCTGGTGTCAGGATAATATGATTGGGTGGGATATGATGCTACATGTCTGTGGCATGATGCCACAGTGCTAGACATCACTACAAACTTCCACACTGCAGACATCATAGTGATATAACTAAAAAATTGTTTAAACTAAGTTAAAAATCCATATCACACACACATACACTCACCAAGGCAATACTGTGTATGAATTTTGGGACTTCTCATTATTTGCAAGCAGCAGATTTACTTATTTTCCAGACTTCAAATTTTCAGGATTTTCTTATTGTAGGATTGTGGATTCCAGGATCTAACCTGTTTTTATTGGTGAATGATGACACATTGATTTACTTCATAGCCTGAAGTGCACAGATGCTGCAAGTGACATATGAGACTATATAATTCTATGTAGCAGATATTCAAGATGCCTGCAGCTTTGTATAGAAACTTTATTAACTAAAGGTTTTTACAAAGACTACAGAATATATTGAATTGAATCAAAATATGCAGAGTGTATTGAGACAGCAGCAACTTCTGATTAAAATATGCAATTTGAAATACAAGATATGCTTGGAACAATATGGTCTGAGTGAGTACACTAAGCTCTTACTTCAGACTGCTTGTTCCCTTATGTTTCTCTTTGTATCATGAGTATGAATGGACATACTGTACTTTCTTGAAATACTTTACCTAATCATAATACATAATCACAAATCCAGTCCTCCAAGATAGAAATGAAAGCATACAAGTTAAAAGTTATTATCGTACTGCCCAACCACCAACTTATTGGGCAAAGTTATTTGGTTGTTGAGCAGCATGATGTCTCCTTGATATAAGGATCTGCAGCAAAATGAATGAATATCTCAGTACTTGTGTTTGTGTTGAGAAACATGTTCTCACTATGAGAGACCTCACAAAGCCAAAATCAGATATGATACATACTGGAGCAGTTTGCACTTCACAAGGAAAGTATATTCCATCTATATTTCCAACAATTTTTCTGTGTCAACAAAGGTCTGCTTTTACAATTTTACTACTTTCATCATCTTTACACATTTAATTGTATTTAGGTAGCTAATGTGACTGACCATTGGTGGACCAGTTTGTGACAAGGTGGCATTCCAAACACCCAACCTTTGTCACTCAAATCCCAGATTCCAAAGCCTGGGCAGTTGATGGCACAATCCATTGATTGGAATGGCCTGGAAATGTACATCTACCCCCTATAATCTGATTCCAACTGTGATAAAAAAGGAAGAGAATTGGATTGTCTCTTCATTCTCAATGCATAACTCAGATGGGAAAAATAGTGGATCAATATCCTCATCAATTTCACAATGGAAATTCACACCAGACTCGGACTTACTGAATCTGGATCATATTAAACAGGCCCTCAGAAATATAAACAGTTCTTACAAACAGTCATGGAGAGAATTGCTGAAGCGAAAAGGCCTTCTTTTCTGAGAGCATACAAAGGCAAATGGAAAATGTTTACACAATGGTGTATGCAAGATCACATTATGCCACTTAAGGCATCTATACCTGAAATATCTTAACTTGCTCCTCTGGCTCTTAGATGAGAAAAAGTTACCATCAAGCACAATCTAAGGTTATGGCTCCACGATTGCTGACATCTTTTGTTATCATGGAAGAGAGGATATCAGACAGATATGGACTCTAAAGTGTAACCTATCATGGTTATTAACCTGTTTGAACACAACACTATTTGATCAACTTTCAGAGGCATCTTTGGCTCACTTTTAATCCAAGACCTTCTTCCTTATCATATTGGTAACAGCAGGCAGAATCAGCAAAATAATACACTATCTGAATTACACACAGTTCCAACAAGACGGGGCAATTCCACTTATGTTGGTTCCTGCTTTCATTGCCAAGAACCTGCTTCCATCAGTAGGCAACCAGACCTTTGTACTGCAATCATTACCCTGGACACTTCCACTCAAGGCCACTTACAGTATCCAATACAAGCATTGAGGTGGTATCTTAAAAAGACTGAGCCATTGTGTTGAGGGAAATCATAACAGTTCTTACCTCTCAAATGGGGACAGGATGATATAACAGCACATACCCTTTTGTCATGGATTAAGCAGGTTATTCTCTCAGCATATCAAGAAACAACTCAGATGGATTTGTTTTGCATTTTGGCTCCTGCGGTTAGAGCAGTTGTTAGAAGTATCACTATTGACAGGAGCTGTTCTCTGATATTATCCATACAGCAGGAAGGAGATCAAGTCCACATTCTACAGTTTTTATCACAGAGATCTTTCATCCAAAAGGGTTCAGCTTATCTGCCAGGACCTACAGCTTTGGTTCAAGAGGTCACCTTTATATGATGTTTGACAATTTCATATGATGCAGCTTCACAACTTCTGCCTGATTTGCAGGAGAGAAAATGTTTCCTATTCAAGGCTGCTCCCCAACAGAAGGTGTCTTCTCTAGTCAAGTTACCTAGAAGCTGTCTTAGTTCATACAGTAGGGGACCAGGATGGCATTTCAAAAGAAGGGGATGTACCTTCCTCTAACTCTTACCTATTCTTCTGAAGTATTATGTTTGGGTAAAGCTTATAATGAAGAAACTTTTGTTTTTATAAATAGTAAAATATGTTTTTTCCCACATTCTTACCCAATCATAATACACATACACCCTCCCAGTCTCCCCAAAGTTATATCCTATAGAGAGTGTGCCTTACACTCTGGTAGTAACTGAGATACTCATTGGTTTTGCTGCCAATCAAATTAATACTTAATCTGATATGACAATTTTTTTTTTTTTTAATTTCCATGTCAGCCAATTTTGTATATATATATATATATATATATATATATATATATATATATATATATATATATATATATATATATATATATATATATATAAACAAAAACAAAACCAGACAAAATCAGCACACTTAAAAGAATCCAAAGTCAGCCTCCAAGGTCAGCTTGCTTTGTAATAATATAACATTTGTATTTGATATTCTTTTCTAAGTTCAAAGGATGAGTTTATTGCTAGCTGCCAGTTGTGTTTATTGATCACTCTGGCTTCTGTTGACTTGGCATCTGTAGTCATAATTGATACCAATGGGCATTGATATCTGCAGGTAAATAGTATACACAGCAATAACTTGCTTGCATATATTTTGTATCCCATTCTAGCAAAAATATTGTCATTTGCACACAGTGAATGTATTTTCAGATCTTTTTGTGTGAGATACTATCACATAGTTAGCCTGGATATAATACAATCTTGGTTATTTTACATCCAACACTGCCATGTGTGAATGGCAGATGCCTTAAAGCAGTTGGTTGATGTTTACCTCTCTTGGTTGGGATTTTGTTGGATCCAGTTTTTAGTCAGATAACATATTCAAATGCTTGAGTACAACCAAACAGGATTTGTTTCTCTATATTCACATCATTGAACAGTATGTCATGTTTTATCTAACAAAAGTGATACATGCTACAGTATGGATGACTACGATACATATATAGAATTCATGGATATATTTTCTTTTTAATGTTCATGAGTTCCTTACTATATTTTTTTTCTTTAATGCCCATTATGACAACAAGAGGGATAAATGATTACAATACAAGGTTAGTTTCTTTCATTTTGTTATCAAAAAAGCATTTTGTTTATCTACCATATTTTCCATATATATTAGGACACAAATAATTTTTTCCTGTCCCAGAACTTATGGTGAAACTTTTTTCACCTAGGTCATATGCACCTAAACTTAAGAAATAAAATAAAATTTATATTGCATTTGTGCACTGCCTCCACTGCACGTTGCAATAAAATAGATTAATAAAATGCTTATTTGATAATAAAAAGAAAGAAACTAACCTATTATTTTAAACATGAGCATTAAAGAATAAAAAATATCCATGAAATTTGTATAAGTAACATAGGCTTTCATACTGTGGTATGTATCACTTATGTACAATAACACATGTCATGTTGTTCATTGACATGAACATTGAGAAACAAATTTGGTGTGGTTATGCTCAAAGATTTTTGAATATGTTATCCGACTGAAAACTGGATCCAAAAAATTTTCACGGTATGAAAAAAATAGTCATGGCCAAAAGAATGGATCGTACATGTGCAGTAGAAGGGTTGTGTTAATGAGATGCTGCTGCAGTGGATTAAAAAGTTTTATCTCAAGTACACAGTTTTATATTTTTTTAGAATAAAATTTCAGTTGGAGTGCATTTTTCGACATGTAATTTTTGAAAGATTTAATAGAAGTCACACAACTTATGACAGGAAAAAAACAATGTGTCCCAGAACATACAGTGCACAAGAAAATTACTTTAATAATTAATTTATGGTGTCCCAACAAATATGGTGTCCCAACATATACTTCAGATAGGTATTTTATTGCAGTGGTGGTGGTGGTGTGCAAATTTAGCAGAAATTTATTTTGTTTCTAAGTCTTGGTGAAAAAAAGTTTCACTATAAGGTCTGGACAGGAAAAAAATTAATTATATTATCACGTCCCAATATATGTGGTAAATACAGTAGTAGCCATTTTTGTTAGTGTTGTTAGCAGCATTAAGAATGTTTTGCACTGAAGTTTTGTATTTAGAATGTATTTAGAATTTTAGTTTGTTGATTGTAATTGCAACTGTTTGACTTAGTTATTCTAACTGCAACATATCTTAGTGTACATTACTTGATATACTATTGACATTCCTGCCTATTTTGTCATGTTTTCTGAATTGCATTGCTCAGCATAGTTGTTTTCTTTTGTGTGTATTCTTAGATTCTGCTGTAATTTACATATTGTTTATACAGGTATGCATCACATGAAACATTTAAATTTAATATTTACCTTTATTGATATGACAGTATGATCTTGACTACTGTAGTCAGTTTCTATCAGAAATCAGGTGTAGAAATCTGGCAGACTAGT